AGCTATAAATTGCGGCCATTTTACAATTCTCCATTAGCCTCCGGTCATCAAGAGAGACAGACCTGTCTGTATTAGGGACAGAGTTAGGGCCAGAGAGACTTTAGGGCCACAGAATCGTTACATAGGGACACAGAATCGTTACTTAGGGACACAGAAATCGTTACTCAGGGACACAGAGAATTGTTACTCAGGGACACAGAATTGTTACTCAGGACACAGATTCGTTACTCAGGACAGACACAGAATTGTTACTCAGGGACACCAGAATCGTTACTGAGGGGACACAGAATCGCGTTACTCAGGGACACAGAATAGTTACTCAGGACACAGAATCGTTACTCAGGGACACAGAATTGTTACTCAGGGACACAGAATTGTTACTCAGGGACACAGAATTGTTACTCAGGGACACAGAATCGTTACTCAGGGACAGACACAGAAGTGTTACTCAGGGACAGACCACAGAATTGTTACTCAGAAGGACACAGAATCGTTACTCAGGGACACAGAATCGTTACTCAGGGACACAGAAGATCGTTACTCAGGGACACAGAATCGTCACTAAGGGGACACAGAATTGGTTACTCAGGGACACAGAATCGTTACTCAGGGACACAGAATCGTTACTCAGGGACACAGAATCGTTACCTCAGGGACACAGAATTGTTACTCACTCAGGGACACAGAATCGTTACTCAGGGACACAGAATCGTTACTGAGGGACACAGAATCGTTACTGAGGGACACAGAAATCGTTACTCAGGGACACAGAATCGTTACTCAGGGACACAGAATCGTTACTCAGGGACACAGAATCGTTACTGAGGGGACACAGAATTGTTACTCAGGGACACAGAATTGTTTACTCCATGGACACAGAATCGTTACTGAGGGACACAGAATCGTTACTGAGGGACACAGAATTGTTACTCAGGGACACAGAATTGTTACTTAGGGACACAGAATCGTTACTGAGGGACACAGAATCGTTACTGAGGGACACAGAATTGTTACTCAGGGACACAGAATCGTTACTGAGGGACACAGAATTGTTACTCAGGGACATAACAGAATTGTTACTCAGGGACACAGAATCGTTATACTCAGGGACACAGAATCGTTGAATTAAAGGAGTATGTCAGACAACACGCAGAGGAGTGGCAGAGGAGGCAAATGTTACTCAGGGACACAGAATTGTTACTCAGGGACACAGAATTGTTACTCAGGGACACAGAATTGTTACTCAGGGACAGACACAGAATTGTTACTCAGGGACAGACACAGAATTGTTACTCAGGGACACAGAATCGTTACTCAGGGACACAGAATCGTTACTCAGGGACACAGAATCGTTACTCAGGGACACAGAATTGTCACTAAGGGACACAGAATTGTTACTCAGGGACACAGAATCATTACTCAGGGACACAGAATCGTTACTCAGGGACTCAGAATCGTTACTGAGGGACACAGAATCGTTAGCTCAGGGACACAGAATCGTTACTCAGGGACACAGAATCGTTACTGAGGGACACAGAATCGTTACTCAGGGACACAGAATCGTTACTCAGGGACACAGAATCGTTACTCAGGGACACAAGAATCGGTTACTGAGGGACACAGAATCGTTACTGAGGGACACAGAATTGTTACTTCAGGGACACAGAATTGTTACTCAGGGACACAGAATCGATACTGAGGGACACAGAATTGTTACTCAGGACACAGAATTGTTACTCAGGGACACAGAATCGTTACTCAAGGAACAGAATCGTTGAATTAAAGAGTATGTCAGAGACAACACGCAGAGGAGTGGCAGAGGAGGCAAATGTTTCAGGAGCGAGCAGACGTGGCAGCAGAGGAAGGGGTCGAGGCAGCACTAGTTGCAGCCAGAGGCCAGTTGCTCCCGTGTCATCCAGCAGTCGTGTCTCCCCACCGACAACTCCTGCCGTCATCGATTGGTTGGCTCGGTCGTCTTCCTCTTCCCAGGTCACCTCTGACACCTACAGCCAACGGTCCGTATGGGTACGTCAGACACAACCGTTAGTTGGCATGGCCCGGGAGCAAAGCCCACTGAAATCACGTGTCCTCTACCTGCCCCTGTCCTTTGGTGTTCCCTCACCAAGCGAAGTATCGCATGCTGTGGGCTCAGCCCCACTGTACAGTGAGGAAGAAGCTAACAGAGGCGGTCAGGAACGGGGGGAAGACACATCCTCCTCTTCAGCAGCCAGCGAAGAAGTACTGGCGAGGAGAGTGGCTCGGTAGCTGGTCTAGAGACAGGTCTGTCTCCTGACCCACACGCAGCCCGAGGGGGCTAGTAGTGAGACGGAGACCCTAATTGATGATGATGAGGCTGATCATCGCACTTGGCAGCCTCGTCGTCATCTGCCAGGCCCGTAATCTGCCATGGGCCCCCCGTACCGACCGACTCCTCATGCTGCTGCCAAGGCCCGTAATCTGTCATGGGCCCCTGTACCGCCTCCTCATGCTGCTGCCAGGTCCAGAGTGTGTCATGGGTCCCTGTACGGCCTCCCATTGCTGCTGTCTCCATCGCCACACTCTGCCATGTGCCACTTTCAGGTCTCCTCACACTGCTGGTGGGTTCCATTTTGTCATAGGGTGCTGGCAGATTACGGGCCTCCCATTGCTGCTGCCAGGCCCGTAATCTGCCATGGGCCCCCGTACCGACTCCTCATGCTGTGCTGCTGCCAGGCCCGTAATCTGTCATGGGCCCCTGTACCGCCTCCTCATGCTGCTGCCAGGTCCAGAGTGTGTCATGGGTCCCTGTACCGGCCTCCCATTGCTGCTGCCAGGCCCGTAATCTGCCATGGGCCCCCGTACCGACTCCTCATGCTGCTGTCAGGCCCGTAATCTGTCATGTGGGCCCCTGTACCATTGCGCCTCCTCATGCTGCTGCCAGGTCCAGAGTGTGTCATGGGGTCCCTGTACGGCCTCCCATTGCTGCTGTCTCCATCGCCACACTCTGCCATGTGCCACTTTCAGGTCTCCTCACACTGCTGGTGGGTTCCATTTTTGTCATAGGGTGCTGTATGGGCCCCATTGCTGCTGCCAGGCCCGTAATCTGCCATGGGCCCCCGTACCGACTCCTCATGCTGCTGCCAGGCCCGTAATCTGTCATGGGCCCCTGTACCGCCTCCCATGCATGCTGCTGCAGGTCCAGAGTGTGTCATGGGTCCCTGTACGGCCTCCCATTGCTGCTGTCTCCATCGCCACACTCTGCCATGTGCCACTTTCTTTCAGGTCTCCTCACACTGCTGGTGGGTTCCATTTTGTCATAGGGTGCTGGCAGATTACGGGCCTCCCATTGCTGCTTGCCAGGCCCGTAATCTGCCATGGGCCCCCGTACCGACTCCCATGCTGTGACGTTGCAACAAGGTGGAATTCAACCCTACATATGTTAGACCGCCTTTATACGAACAGCGAAAGGCCATCACCGATTTCCTGATGTTACAAGCGGATAAAGGTACTCCCCTGTGTAACTTAGATGTCAGCCCTTGGCAGCTCATGCGTGACACCTGCGCTTGCTCAGGCCCTTTCTGAGGAGGCCACGCTATTCGTGAGTCGGCAGGACTATGGGGGGAATGAACGACGTCATTCCTCTGTTGCACGTCCTGGAACAAATGCTGTTAACAATGGCTGGTCAGGGTGCGGTAGACGTGGCGCACAGATCTCAACGCCACATGACCCCTGTGGGGGCAGGACAGGAAGAAGAGGAGGAGGTAGAGGAGGACATTGGTGCTCAGGAATTATTGAGTGAAATGGGTGGTTTTTCCTCCACTCAGCGGACAGGAGTGGAGGAGCAGAGCATCTGGTAGAGGAGGAGGAGGAGACAGAGGACCCAGACGCACCGTGGCAGTATGCTGTGGAGATGGAGGCAGGGAGTCCCTCGCATTCCTTGGCACCGTTTTTTTTAATGGCCCATAGCATGCTCGGTTGCTTGCGTAGCGACAGCCGAATAATAACCATCAGACAGAGGGATGACTTTTGGCTGTCCACCTTGTTGGACCCTCGCTACCGTTCAAAAATGGTGGCCTTTTTCACACCTGCTGAGAGGGAGGCCAAAATAACGTACTATAAAAACCACCTATGTAGTCAGTTGGTCTCTGCCTTTCTGCGCCAACGTCCATCCTCAGACACTGTGGGCCCTGTGCGCTCGCGTTCCGCTGCCATGGCAGCAGCAGGGGAGGGGTGGTAGGAGCAGTGGCAGCTCCACCAGCAGCGGCTGCCTCAGTCTGCAGTCGATGATGAGTAGCTTTCTTCACCAGCACAGTGAGGAAACTACTAACCAGCCGCAGCAGCAGCATCAGGTGGACCTGGAGCAGGACCTCAAACAACAGGCTTGGGCCTACTTGGACAGCACCCTGCCAACCGAGGTAGACAATCCCCTTGACTACTGGGCAACGAAACTTGACCTTTGGCCCCAACTAGCTGAATTTGCCCTTGAAAGGCTGTCATGCCCGGCCAGTAGCGTGGCATCGGAGCGCGTCGTGTTTAGTGCGGCAGGAGGTATTGTAACTCCGCGGAGGACACGACTGTCCACCCAAAGTGTGGAGAGACTCACGTTTGTGAAAATGAATCAGGCGTGGATTAGTCTGGATTTCAAACCACCAGTTCCTGACACAACTGACTAAATCCGCCATGAATCATGCCCTCAAACATGTTATTATTTTTAACATAGGCCTCTGTATGGCCTTCAATTTAAGCTGCTTACGCTTCGCCACTCTGCCATGGGCCCCTGTACCGCCTCCTCTTGCTGCTGCCAGGTCCAGAGTGTGTCATGGGTCCCTGTACGGCCTCCCATTGCTGCTGTCTCCATCGCCACACTCTGCCATGTGCCACTTTCAGGTCTCCTCACACTGCTGGTGGGTTCCATTTTGTCATAGGGTGCTGTATGGCCTCCCATTGCTGCTGCCAGGCCCGTAATCTGCCATGGGCCCCCGTACCGACTCCTCATGCTGCTGCCAGGCCCGTAATCTGTCATGGGCCCCTGTACCGCCTCCTCATGCTGCTGCCAGGTCCAGAGTGTGTCATGGGTCCCTGTACGGCCTCCCATTGCTGCTGTCTCCATCGCCACACTCTGCCATGTGCCACTTTCAGGTCTCCTCACACTGCTGGTGGTTCCATTTTGTCATAGGGTGCTGTATGGCCTCCCATTGCTGCTGCCAGGCCCGTAATCTGCCATGGGCCCCCGTACCGACTCCTCCTCATGCTGCTGCCAGGCCCGTAATCTGTCATGGGCCCCTGTACCGCCTCCTCATGCTGCTGCCAGGTCCAGAGTGTGTCATGGGTCCCTGTACGGCCTCCCATTGCTGCTGTCTCCATCGCCACACTCTGCCATGTGCCACTTTCAGGTCTCCTCACACTGCTGGTGGGTTCCATTTTGTCATAGGGTGCTGTATGGCCTCCCATTGCTGCTGCCTCCACCGCCACACTGTGGCTCCCCACACTCTGGTTTTGGCCCCGTGACTGCCCAAATGAGTGAAGTGTGCGGTGATTCTAAGATCGACGGCACTCATCTGCATGTCATACTGACTGACAGTATTATTTCTCTTTCCCCAGCAGACTCCAAGGGCATTTAAATTAAAGGTACAGTGTTCTGCACTAATATAAAGGCTCCCTGAAGCCTAGAAACACCCTTTTTATAAGTTAAATTCGCAGCGAATATATTCGACTTGAATCGAATTTATTCCGCGAATTTGCCGAATCGAATTTTTGAATAATTCGCTCATCTCTAGTCTTTACCATGAAAACATATTCTCCTTATGATGTCAGTGTAGACTGGGACCTAAATTGTTTTATAAATAATAGTTAATGGTTAAGTCTTATAAATATTATGATGTTTTTGGTATATGGTTCTGCTCCTACATACAGTATGTGATATTATTTGCATTGTTGAAAAGAACAAACAATAAGTTTTCTTCTCTTCTCATTTAATTGTAATTTTTATTTCTAATACTATATTAGCTATTATTTCCATTGTTTTTATTTCATTACCCATTAGAATTTTTTTTTTTTTTTGGTTTTGATGCTTGCATTGTTAAATTTGATCGCTAGGTGCAAAATGATTTATCACAGAGTCAAGCCTGTGATAAATGTGGGTAAATCATTTGGATATTAAAGGTTTAATAAATATATATATATATATATATATATATATATATATAAAAAAAACATTATTATACAGGATTTATATAGTGCCAACAGTTTGCTCAGCGCTTTACAATATAAATATACCTGTGTATCAAATTTGTTCATCTATTGCATAATTTGCTTTTAACCATACTTATTTTTTGCACATGGGATTTATGCATTGATTTGTTCAGATCTGCGGTTTATACTTTTTGCGTTATAAACAAAAAACACAGACAATTTAGATAATAAAATAAAAATCTTTAATTTTCTACTATAAAACAAATCCAATAAAATATAAATCCAAAAATATTAAAAATCAAATTTCTTCATAAATTTAGGCCCAAATATATTTTTACATTAACTGACACTTTGTGGGAACCAATGACACTAATACAGTGATCAGTGCTAAAAATATGCCCTGATCACTGTACTGACACTGGTTGGGAAGGGGTTAACATCCCAACCAGTGCCTAGCTATGTGCTCGGTGTATAGGAGGTGGTGCTTTTACTACAGGAAGTGAAGGATTGTGTTCACAGCTTTGCAGGGACACAGGATTGTCCATGTCACCCCCTGTCATAACAGAGCTCTGCCTTGTTTACATAAGCAGAGCTCTGTTCATTCTCCTGCCCGACGATTGGAAGGTGCCGGTGAACATCCATTTGCTGGGACTCACAGATCGGATTCTACTGTGAGTGTTCACAGCAGAAGTGAGCTGCCGACTATAGGGCGGTCCTCAAGTGGATAACTATGATCAACACTCAGATGTCACCTGGCCTCTAAAGACGTCTTTTGCAATGAAACAAATTGGGTATAACATAGGCTGCTGATGTCCTCATGTCTGCCAAGGTTGCGAGTGGAAACCTGAAGTGTGTGACACAAGGTTAAGGACTCTCTCTCCTCTGGATTGTAAGCATCACAGTATATGGAGGGATTGCAGTTTTAGAATGTGCAGATTGGACACAACGGGTCCTGGAACATATACACACTGTGTGACACATTATCTTATTCATGTAAGAATGATTAATCAATTTCAATTTAAATTACTGGAAAGATGTCACACTAAATGGGATTTATATTTTTTACATGGTGAGAGAGAGACACATTGGAGTCATATTGGAGACTTGGGAAGACCTATATGCATAGATTGAAGGGCTTGATCAACTTCATCCTCTGGTGAGAGCATAAGGAGAACAGAGCAACTTGTATATAAAAATGTTTCCTGGGACTATGAAATTTACAATTTGTGGACACTAGTTTTGCGCTGTATATTTATATTATATGGACTGTAGCTGCCCAGTGGGGTCATTTTTTATCTAGCATCTCAAAAGAATACAGAATACCTCAGGCACTGGTTTACTATTTATTAAATAATATCTCTTATTCGTATTCATTTTATACTTGGTTACACTTAGACTTTAATAAACAGCAGTACAGAGCTGCATAATACTCATGGCAGGAGAAAATTACAATCAGGGGTAAAGCACCCCTGATATATGTGAAAAGTATACTGTGTGGTGCCACTCCAAGCTATGGATGGAAGGCAAAGGATCACCCCACCGGCAAGTGAGAAGAGGGGAACATGAGTCCGAGCGATTCCAGTGTCAGCCAATGAGTGAAGGGATGGACGCTGCTCAACCAAGCCCAGGAGTCCAATGTTGAGGAATGGCCCCAACGGTCGTTCTGGCCACGCCCTCTGACACGAGGTAGTGAGGATGTGAGAAGCCAGGAAATATATATGCATCTTTGCCCATGAAAAAAAGAGTCAGGTGTGTATATGGGATGATAGAGTGAATGGAAAACTGGAAGAAGACAAGAGAAACTGAATAGCAAAGCTGAAATACAAGAGAAAGAAAGAGAGAAATATATATATATATATATATATATAATGAAAAATAATAAAATGACAAAAATATAAAAAAAAATAAAAAAATAAAATAAAGATAGATATAGTATGAATAGAAAAGAAAAAAAAGGGAAAAAACAAAATCAATCTCTCCAATTAAACTTTATACTGAAAAAAGTAAAAATAGGTGAAAATAGAAAAACAACTATGTGTGATGTGTATGTGTGAAAAATAAAAACGGTTCTAAAAACAACATTTTCGGAACTCTTTAGTCCTCATCAGGGACATCATGCAGGACAATGGAGAGAGGGACGGGGAAAAGCTGAACTATAGGAATTATCGAATGTTCTGAGAATAGCAACAACTAAGGAGAATGACAATATTCAGGGGAAAGAAAAACGTTATTGATCATATGGGTATGGTAATCATGATATTATTCATAAAAGTGGGTAACATCCCACTCAAAGTTTAATCCCTTGGGTATCCAGGTCTCAAGTTTAGAGTTCCAAAAGAATTCTCTTTTGCAAAGGAGGGAAAAAAAACATTCTCCTTCTCTCATCTGAGAATCATGCGTTCTATAATTTGCACCCTTAAAGATATGGTTTTCAAAGTTATGATATAACCTGAAGTGTCTAGAAATGTTTGTTCCCTTACTGGTTCTGATATTCAATAAATGATCCCGCATTCGATCATTTAGTTGCCTGGTGGTGCGGTCTACGTATTGAACGTTATACTCTTGACAAGTAATCATATAAATTACAAAAGTGTATGGCAATTCACTAGTTGTTTAATTTCATAATTGTTGCTATTAAAACAAGAGGTAACAATATGAAGGTCTCCACCATGTGGCAGCTCGAGCAGCGAGTGGCATTACATTTGAATAAGCCAGTGGTGTGTAGCCAAGTAGGTTCAGAATGTCTAGAGAGAAACAGACTGGGAGAGCCCATGTTACCTATGGTTTTGGCCCTTCTGGCTACAAATTGCACTTTTTCAGAGACGATTGTTTTGCAAGCAGGATCTCCATTTAATATGGGAAGACACTGTGAAATGATACATTTAATGTCAAAGTATTGATTACTGTATCAAGTAAAAAAGACTAAAGCTGTGGTGGTTGTTCTCATCTTTTTTTTTTCTATTGAAAGCTTCGCTGTTGTCAATTAAATCTTTCCCTTGCTTGTTGTTCACAGATTGGTAAACTTGAGTGTTTAGATGTTTTTTACAGCCACTCTCCAAGAACATATTTTCCATCTCTTTGTCATGTGTCTCAAAGTCCTTAGTGAGGGAACAATTTCTTTTAAGAGGAGTAAACTGACCTTTGGGAATAGCCTTAATAACATGCTGTGGGTGATAACTCGAGGCGTTAAGTATGGAATTCTTAGATGTAGATTTCCTAGAGGCAGTTACTGTGACTCTGCCCATGAGTGAAGAGGCTTGTAGAGTAATGTCTAGATAATTCATAGTGGTCAATTGTTCCTCTCCTGTGAATCTTAAATTCCAGGTTATGTTGTTGAGATACATGAGAAAAGATTCAAACAGCAAATTCTTGTCTACAATGAAGATAAGATCATCGATCATCAATATATCGAAAGTATGCTTTGACCAAGTGTCTATAAGGGTTTTTGGTGCTGTAAATAAACTGTTCTTCCCAACTTTCCATGTATAACTTGGCATATGTGGGTGCAAACCAGGCTCCCATAGAGGCACTTTGCTCCTGTAGATAACATTTCTGGTCAAATAGGAAAAAATTGTGTTTGAGAGAAAAAAAGATACACTCTCCAAGATGAACCATTTCAAATCCTGACCATACTCTGTGTAAAGATCCATGTGATATTTCAGAGCTTGTAGATCTAGGTTATATAGAATGCATGAATATAATAATCTTAGATCGCATGTTAGTCATTTGAGATTCTCAGTCCAAGGGACATCTTCAAGAGCTTGGATGATGTGTTTGGTATCCAGAGCATAAGAGGGAAAGTGGGTTACAATATTTTGGAGCAGAACGTCCATAAGATTACCCAAGGGTTCTCCAGGGGAAGCTTATGGTGACTATAGGTCTTACTTTTAGATATAATTCCTTATGTTCCTTGGGTAAGTGATGGAAAATAAGTACTACAGGAAATGCAGGTACTAATTTCTTTGCATTATCCAGATTTGGTATGTTCAAACTAAAAGCCTCATATATAATGAGCTCCAGCTGCTGTTTATATGAAGTGGTAGGATTCATAGTAAGAGGTTCATATATTAATGGATCATTGAGTTGTCGTAAGGCCTCTTGGTGATAATCAATGGAATTCAAAACAACCACTGCTCCACCTTTGTCCACCTCTTTGATGGTGATTTTTGGGTTATTTTTCAAAGACTGGAGACCTTCTTTCTCCTTTGAAGTGAGATTAAATCCATTTTGTCTAGGTGACTTCTCAATTTGTCATGCCAGGGAGACCAAGTCCTTTTCAACCAATCTTTGGAACAAATATAGGTTCTCACCTCTTGACTGCACTAGGTAAAAATCAGAACGTTGAGTGGAAATGACTTCTAAACGTTGCAGAGTTTTTTACTTTATCAGATGTCAGAATACTTGAGAAACCCTTGGTATCCAGGGAACTCATGTCATGTATAAAACAATAAACCTGGAAA